ATTTTCTCTTTTACGAGAATGAGTTATTCACGATATTAATTTTGTGCCCTTCATGTAATATGATCTTCCAACTCAGGATGCTGACCAACATGATCTTCCAATCTCTCCTCACAGTAAATTATACATCAAGCACGCTCCTCTTTATCCGAATGATGATCCTCAAACAATCATCAGGACAGAGCGTGAGAGATTGAGAACCTTTTATTCCATTAACGCACGTCCTCAAAAATAAGTGTGGCCTCAGAAGAGGATTACTAAGATCGTTGGATTCAGTATCAAGGTTAAGAGCAAGTTCAATCTCTACTATATGCTACACAGATACTATGTCTCTCGGAATAAAGAAGCAACCATCACTCTCACGGATTACGACTTTCCCTCAACCAACCCCACTGACATTCTCACCATTACTGCTCATCTGCGAGAACGCAAAAAAAATCACTCAAGCATTGGAGCTTATAGTGATGCAATCAATTTCTTGAAGGACTACGTAGCGGAATTCTGCATGACTGACACTGAATTTTCTCACTTGTTCAGAACAGAGAATATTTTGGCGAAAATCACTTACGAACTGTCTAAAGCTCAGATTTTGGTAGAAGGACCCATTGAAGAATCGGAACTCGGATATGTCTATCTCAAAAACAAGACCAACCGTAATAATTCTTTAGTGTTCTTGACAAACATCTAGTTCCATCAAAGATCCTTCAGAAGTTCATCTCCAATGCTGCAAAAAGTGATGCTCCTGAGCATGTGAAGAAGAAGTTCATCAAACACCTGAAATGGTACTTGGAAGTCCGAAGTTGGCTACAAAGTACCTATCTCTGTGTGTCTGATGAATCCTACTGAGTTGATTGATTGCTAAGTTCACTTAGGGGGAAGATTGTTGATGCATAAAAATGAACCTCTAGCAATCCGAGCCAAACCAGATCCGAAGTCAATGAAATACGAGATTTGAAGAGTTCCGAAGTCAGTCTTCTTCCGAGATGAAGACATTTCCAAGACATTCCGACTCTCTTCTTCTTCTTTCTTTTACCATAAAATCGTAGCTTCATATGCCCTTCTTCTTGGCTTCTCTTTTGAATATCACTTCCAAGTATTGGTGATGTAAAGTGCTTCTCCTTTAGTGCTTAATTGTATTAAACGCTTAAAGTGTTAATAAGTACTTTATACAAGATGGGAACTAACATTCCAAGTGTCTTACTCTTGATGGAGGATACTTGTAGACAATATCATCCTCTTTGATCTTTCTATATTCATCAACATCCCAAAACCAAGTGTGTATAAAGGCTTCAAAGGTTGCCATTCTAAAACACTCTATGATTGTTTTTAATGTCATTCTAACCTCTATAAAAGGATCCTTGGTGGTTTTATTTTTGAAATATACTAAAAAATTACTTGTGAATTTTTAAAGCTTCCGTTGCAGTTTTTATGAAGAATCACTCCTATATTTTGTATCTAAACCCATCAAAGGTGACTTGGATATCAGAGCCTCAAATAGAACTAGATCAATCCAAAACTCCACCCGCCTCTCAGGAGGTACTCCCGGAAAATGCTTAGGAAACACGTCAAAAAATCTCGAACAATAGGCATACCCTCGGTAGACTTCTTCCCCCAACCCGTGTATCAAAAACATAAACCCAAAACCTCGAACATCCATGCTACAAGTATCTACTAGCTCTCGTAACTGAACAAAAGCAGGAACACCTCAGGCTCCCTCACCATGAATGATTGATTCTCCCCTACTTGGAGTTCAAACTCGAACTAGCTGATATACACAATCGATCATAGCCCCGAATCGGCATAACCAATACATGCCCACAATGGTCCTCGCTCCCCCTATAGAAATAGGAAAAAGACTAATAGGAAAAAGGACCGAAAAAATCTCCAATACATAATCTCGGTGAACCCTCAAAGTACTCACAGGGCGGTCGTCGACGATATCTACCTCCAAAGGGAAATCCAGTGCCCCTGGAACAACAACGAATTTCTTGCTAAGGGTAAGAGACAAAAATGATCGGGTAGCACCAGAATCGAAGAGGAAAAGAGCAGGCATACCATTGACTAAGAAAATCCCTAATCACATCAGGAACAAAAATAAGCATAAATAATGAAACAACAATAAATAACTAGGAATCCATACCAATGATGACATCTTGCACTGCTCTGCCTCCTCAGTCGTCAACTAAAAATCTCTTCTCTTCACCACAACAACCGTCACCTTTGCCCTGGTGGCCGCCAGTGATCCTCAAAGTAGCTAGAGCGGGTTCCCTCACCGCTCTGCCAGATAAACTCGGCCAATCGTCCTTCTTGTGGCTGACTTGATTGCTGTGGAAACATATCAATGCTCCACCAGTGCAATACCTGCTCATATGTCTTTTTATCGTTAAGCTCCTAATAATGAGATCCTCAATTCTCATTTAGGTTGTGTCGACTTCAAATCAATCCATCTAAAATTCGAATTCCGGGTTGTGCACTGCTATGCTAAATCTTAGAAAAATCATAACTTCCTCATACGAAGTAAGATTTGGACATTCTTTTTATGCACGTTCTCGGTTTAACATATACTACAACTTTAGTTTAGATCTCTAAGGCTAAAAAGTAATTTATCAAAACTTCACTTTTTACGTTACGCGGTGCCGTGCCGGTTTTGCCGTAAAACTTCGATGGGTCATAACTTCTTCGTTATAACTCGGATTTTGACGTTCTTTATATGTACGAAACCCTTGTGACATATACTATAACTTGGTTAAGATTATTCATTCTAAATAATCTTCCATCAAAAACTCATTTTTGACGTTTATTGTCTCTAAATTGACTAGCCCGAATCTGCGGGCATTACACCTAGTGTCCTATATAGTATAGTGAGAAAACTCATGTGATCAGTGAGTTCTAATCCTGTAATCAAAAATCTCATAGAATCTGTTACACGAACCTCCAAAACATTCACAAACCAAACCTCAGGCTACCACTCAAAACCTTTCCAAGTTTAACTAAAAGTCAAATAGGTCAAAACTCAATGGTCAAGGTCAAAGTCAACCCAGAAAGCTACCATGTCATGGCCAATAACTGGCCACGTCGTGGCTATCCCATGAGAAAATAGCTGCGATGAGCTCCGCCACCACGTTGTGGCAAGCATGCCACCATGTCGTGGTTCTTGTGCAAAAAAACTTAATGGATTAAGCCATTAATCCACAAAGTCGCATACTCATACCTTCCAGAAAGCTTCCTTATACTCATATGCATCATAAAAATCCTTGTTTTGAGGGCATGCATGTCCATTACTCAATGTAGGTCAAAATGAGAGAAATGGTGTCAAAACCCCATACAAGAGCGCAAAACTACATAACACTTCAGTGGAGCATCTAACCATCTTGGGACCTCAAGGATCACTAAAGTTACCAAATTTATTGGATTCATCCACTCAAACGAACATAAAAGTGAAATATGCATAAAAACCTAGATCTAGAACATTGCATGAAGAAGATTGCATAAAAATGAACAACCTAATCGATATAATACTTTGTTCACTTAAATTTTGTTTATGATTGGATAAACTTTTTCAGTAAATTATGTTAGTTATGGTTTAAGGTTATTTTAAACATTTAATAAAAAGATTTTCCAAATAATCAATTAAAAAAAAACATAATTTAATTATTCTTACCATTATTTATAATTTGTTATTAAGAGTTATCTATAAAACAAACAAATAAAAAGAGGAAGAATGACAATTTTGTGTTTTTAATATATGTACATTCAAAATCTTTTACAAATCAAATAAAATTTTATAAAAAAATGGATGTATAATTTCCATTGTAAATCGTATCAAACACAAAAGATTTAAAACACTTCTATTTAAAAATTCTCTTGTACCTCCTTGGTATAATAAATCCCTGAATAAACAATCAATAGATATTCAATAATATGAAAAATAATTGCATATAAAGAAAAAAGGTACACCATGCGTTTATGGGTGTGTTTGACAAAAGTAGTTGTTAGCTGGAAGCGGGTAGCGGGTAGCTGGTAGCGGGTAGCGGAAAGCTATAACTTTTATTTGTTATATGAGTGTTTGGCAAAAGTAGCTGGAAGCTTTTGAAATATATAAAATTACATAAAAGGACAATTGATTAAAAATAAATAAATATATAAATATATTTTAAGGGTAATTATGAAAAATGATTTCAAAAGCTCACTAATATTTTGTTAAACGCTACATGAAGTAGCTTTTAGATTTGGAGCGTTTTGTTTAAACTAAAAGCTAAAAGTTTTTTGTTTAAACTAGAGCGTTTTGTTTAAACGAGTGCTCGCAAACATACAAGTAAGTATACAGTGAATAATTGAAACATAATAACCACACAAAATCACTAAGTCGAGAGCACTCGTTTTTAGTCATAACAACAAAGAACAAGATTATAAAAAAAAAATATATTCACACCTAAACATTTCAAATAAAAAAATTATAAAAGCCAAAATTTCATATATGCCCTAATAAATGATTATATACAAAGAATAGCAATGTACTTTTCATTTTTCCTTATAATAGGATTATACTTTCTCAATTTTAGTTATCTATTTCTTAATTCCATGTTTTTATAGAAGCAACCGTTTAAGATAAAAAATTCAAAGAATTCTTATAAGAAATATGTTCATCTACTCATAAAGCAGCCTTCTGCGAGTTTGAAAATCCACCAGGTCATTCTTGTATCTCTTGTGGTTAACAGGAGAGCACTCCATACTTAATTAAACCCTAGCTGAACACGAACAATTTCAAAAGGTGAACTGTATACACATTTAAAAAAAAACTATACTGAAAATAAATTATTTATTTGATAATAAATTATTTATTTGATCCATACACAAGAATATACATTATTTAACAAAGATTGTTCAACTTATACGTACATTAACAAACATAATAAAATAAATTGGTTCATGTATGAGCTAATCATAGTTAACCTCGTGTAATAGTAATGGATTTCCTAAGTTCAAACTTTCTGTGCGTGGATTCAATAAAAATTTGCAGCTTCCGCATCCACATTAGTGTCTACGTCGTCCTCATTTTGTATGAACCCATACTTCTGCTTACGATCATAATAGTTTGTGACTCTAACATTTGCTTGAGGTTGGGGTGAGAGTCTCTCGAAGCCATCACCCATAAAGTAGATGTTAGAATATGGAGGCGTGTCTAGTAACTTGTGTGGTGTTTCTTTATGGTTCTTCTTTGAGGATTCATGATGGTGGTGGTGATGTGCAGTTGCACTGTGGGTCTTCGACATCCTTGATGTTAATTTTAGCTACAAATGTTTGGTTGATGGTTTTAGATTAATTTTAGTTGATGTCAAAACAAATATTTATATATGAGTTTGCACATGTTTGTTTGGTAAGAAGGGAATAAAAAGTCATGGAATCAGATTCTCATTTCATTTAGCTTTATCTGGATTTTGGAGTGGATAGGTTGGATATTATAACACTTACATTAATTTGTCCAGGGTCCTTTTGTTGAGTAGGCAACTGATTTCCTTGACCATTGTCGAGGGTATAAATGTATAATATGGTCATGTTTTGCGACTGCGAACCTTGAATCAATATAAAGCATGGATGCTTTGATTTTCTTTGAGTATGTAATCAGGGAGCATATAAAGTCTATACATGAATTCTGTAAAAGCAATATATATATATATATTATATATATATATATATATATATATATATATATATATATATATATATATATATATATATATATATTAGTTTGTTAGGCATCTTTGACTTTTGTTTTCTAGAAGTAATGTATCCAAGTTATATGACAAACATTTAATTTTAGTTAGGTATACGTGAGTTATAATGCATATTCGATTCATGTTAATCCTACCTCTTATATTCCTTTTGAACGAAATAAAATAAAAAAAAAAACGTAATATTTGATTAAGCTTATATTTCTGTTTTTCACGAGGGAAAATAACTAACAATGTTTCTTTTAGAAAAGAATCTTAATGGAACTTCTAATTCGGTTAGCAATATATGATACGTCTTTATCTATTTTCGTTCGAAGTTCGAACACTTTTGACCGTTGATTATTTTATTCAACAAAACAACCACTACATACGTGACGGCAGGACTCCATGCATTTTCAATAACAACATATGATTTAATACAATTCTAAATATTGATTTATTTTTGTGTGAGCCATGTAAAATAGTTAAAAGACTTTTATTTCTTTTGCACTGTTTAAGTGAATATACTATATAGTGCCAAGGCGGTACACTGAAATTAATCATACACCAGTAATTTATAGCGACCAAAAATGTTAAAAATAAACTATGTGTTGATTATAATTCGAATACTAGTATTATTAAAATAAAACTTCGAATACAACAAGGAGGTTTTAATGAATTTAAAATTTTTAATGATTCACCGGAAGAATTACAAGCTATAACGACAACGCAAGCAATAGCGGCAAATTTTGATCCACATGTTTAAGTGTCGCCGTTATAGCCGGGATCACCACTAAAACGTTTTAATCATGATCCGTGTGATCGATGATGGACGAACCCCAACCGTTGATTAAAAAATCTCGATCCATCGGCAATTAAAAGTCTTGATATCAATAGTGGTGATTCCCGTCGCCGCTAATACCCCAAAAATGATGGGAAATATTCTCTCCATTTTGACCAATTTGTCAATGCTAATACAGAGTCGTCGCTGGTAGAGGCTTCTCCCTTTAGATTGTCGTTTCCAGGTTTTCCCCATTACACAACTGTGATGTTTTTTTCTCTGACACCTCTAACGATTCCTTCGATTTTCCAACTTCTTTTACCGTTGATTGAAAGGTGTTGCCAGCCGCAACCCACACCAACCGTCAACCACCAGTATCTTCAGCCACCTGCATTTTGTCTCCGACAAGTCTTTTGCTACCGACGATTGCCCCTACTAGCATCGCCTCTTGCTGACGTGCATCACCACCATGATCAAATGCCACCCCCACTTGCCTTGCCTCCTACATCACCCAATAATAACCACCAACGTCGACTACCATCACCACCATACCACCACCTACACCCCTCAGGTTCATTTTTTTTTTGTAATTTAGCTCCTGGTTGTTATTAATATGCTTAATTGATAAATGCTTAATGATTTGTTAAGGACTTAATTGATAAGTGCTTAATAATCTTTGAAAGTGCATAATATTCTTGGAAAATGTTTGATGAAGATTGGTACAAATTTAATGTGTTCATATGCTTGGAATGTGCTAATTGATTTGTTAAGGACTTAATTCATAAATACTTAATTGTTAAGGTCTTTATGATGTTATTATGTGTTTTTTTATGATGTTATTATGTGTTTGATGCTATTAGATATGTTTGAAAGTGCTTAATATGTTTAAAAAAAATGCTTAATGAAGACATGCTATTGATTTAATGTATTAATATGCTTGGAAAGTGTTAAATGATTTGTTAAGGACTTAATTAATAAGTACTTAATAGTTATGGACTTAATAATGTTATATGTGTTTGATGTTATTATATATGTTTGGCAAATGCTTAATTGAGACCTGCTACTAATTTAATGTGTTAATAAGCTTAGAAAGTGATAAATGATTTTTTAAGGACTTAATTGATACGTACTTAATTGTTAATGAGTTAATTATAGGATGCTATAATTAACAAATAAAAAAACATAATAATTAAAGTAGACAAAAATTTCACAAATCGTCTTTAAGCTTTTTTGTTTTTCCCTAAAATAGTCAATATGAAACATTTTTTTTGCATGGATGGTCCCTATAAAGCAAACCTTTTCACACAAATGGTCTGTACCATTGATGTCCGTTAGATGAATTCGTTAAATTGAAAGAATGTTGAATAAGGACCATTTCTGTCATTTTGTGAGACTTGCCTAAGGACCATTTGTAAAATTTTATACAATGACACTTTGTGAAATTTTATATAAATCTATTAAATCTTGTACTAGTTACCATAAATCAAATACAAAGGCAAAAAAACATAGAAAATGTAACACTTATATAAATAAAAAATTAAAACATATAAATTTTAATCATCATGAAAATATATTTTGTTTAATATATAAATATTTTTTGTTGTCTAGACGTTGCTAAAATATTCAAACTATAATACTTCATTAATATTTTCGTTGTTTATTTTTTATCTACGCAAATTTAAAGTATAAAAACATCATTTTATTACTTTTTAATTTTTACATGTTGTAACTTTTAAGATTTATCTTCATTTATCTTATACAAATATTTTTTTTTTATGAAAACATTATGATATGTTATTATAAAAAAAATATATGTTATTAGAGAAATAATAGTATGCTGCTATTTTCTTCTAAAAATATAAGTATGCAGTTTTGAGTTAAAGATAAAATATCTTTCGGTTTTGGTTCATAATATAAGTGGGGTAAATTTTATATTGGTTTGATAAAATTTTATAATTTAATTTTAAAAAAGTAATTAGTTTTATCGAATTTTGAATATATTTCTTAATAAGACATAAAATTTTCAAAGCAAAATTAAAAAACATCTGTTAGCTAATAATTAACTATGATGCTACACATTCTAAGACGATTAATCATATGAATAATATGACATTAGTTCAATTTAATTTTATTTAATGAAAAATAAAAATATTTTATATATTTAAATTGTTTGTATTTTTGTACAAATAATCAAATAAATTCATTATTATAAAAAATGATATGTTATTATTTAAGAAACACAAACCTTTTAAATATATAAAATATTTTTATTTTCCATTAAATAAAATGATTTATACAGAATTAATGACATGTTATTCATATGGTTTATTATTTTAGCATGTGTAACAGTGTAGTTAATTATTAGCTAATAGATGTTTTTAATTTTGTTTTGAAAAGTTTATATCTTTCTTAAGGAATATGTTCCAAATTTGATAAAACTAAATATGTTTCCAACATTAAATAACAAAACTTTATATCGCACAAATATAAAATTTACGGTACTTATATTATGAAAGCAAAATTGAAATATATTTTTATTTTTATTAAAAAGTGCATACTTATATTTTTAAAATAAAATAGCAACATACTATTATTTCTATAATAACATATTTTTTTATAATAACATATCATATTTTTTCATAAAATTAAATATATTTGTATAAGATAAATGAAGATAAATATTAAAAATTACGTCATGTAAAAATTAAAAAGTAATAAAATGATGTTTTTATGCTTTAAACTTTTTTAGATAAAAAAAACGGACATATTTAATGGTGTATTGTAGTTTAAATATTTTAGATAGAGTTTAGACAATAAAAATTATATATATATATATATATATATATATATATATATATATATATATATATATATATATATATATATATATATTGTGGAAGAGTTAGCAACAATTATCTTTGTAGAGTTCAGACTTTTACCACATATGTTTGTTGAATTGGCACTTTTGGCCGCTGCTCTGATCTTGCTCTTCTCGACGCTTCCCACCACTCCAATTTTGTCGCATCAAAAATGCTCTAAACAGAAAAAATGTATCCACCTCCTCTTTCAACATCGACGAACACCTTCTTCCTCTACCAATATCTGGCCATCAAACCTACCATTGCCTTTGGCCAACAGTAGCCCCGATCAAGTAGTGCCTCTCCGTCTTTGATTCCTCTAACTAATCTCTCCTCCTCAACCCTGATGGTACTTCTATGGACCCCAACTACTTCCCTGTCCTTCTACCACGTCCCCTCACCTCCCCCATTCGCTTCCCCACCGTCTTCTCTATCACACAATCGATTTGATTTTGCTTCTCTTCTAGTTAAACGATAAGAGATCGAAGGTTATTTAGTTTGATTTTGAAAAAAATTAGAGTGCTCGGATCTTAGCATCTTGGTTGCATTCCTAGATCAATCTCGACATCTTATTACTCTTATCGACAGTGTATACACTACATGTGTTCCTATGCGACTCTTCATCCACTGCTTTACCTTGTAAGTGATTTTCTACCACTATTCAAATATCAATCTTATACACGCTAGATATATAATGAGATAAACATATGTAATTGATTTATTTAACAATTTGTATATATGATGTTTTATTATTATGATGATAGAAAATCACTCCTGACAGCACAATTGAATCCCATCTTCCTTTTAATCTTCTCTTATTTGCTTTTGGGGCTAAGGGTTAGTAGCGATTCTTTGTTTATGTATTTTTAGGGCTTTATATTAATTTGATGTTGCTTGCTTAACAAAATCGAATTTGTGGTGTTCGTTGTGTAATTTGCCTTCAGATAAATCTACGCGGTGGCTGTGGCAATGCTGCAACATTCAGTATGGGAAAATTGGGGGATCATACTTGTGGTAGCGGTGCGTTTGTGGGTAATCAAGATCATATAGTGGTGGATGATCCAATGGTTGTGGACCAGAGAGGGAATAATAATCAGAGTAAGAAATGATGTGAAGATGATGATTTATCTAAACCTGTTTCAACTAGCAACCGTTTCATGGTATTCAATATTCAATCAACCCTACCAATCTAATTGATTCAATATT